CTTTCCCTATATCAGCTTGTACCACCCACTTTTGAAAGACATCACAGAAAAGCTAGACTAGCTAGATGTTGCATGGCAATTCCTGTTATAAAAGTGGTGTGGTCTCACACATTTTGAACAAAATCCGATTTTACAGTAATACAGGAAAAACAGGGCTTAACATGAAATACCAAAGCATGATCCAATTATGATAAGAGCTCATCTCAATTAATTTCCCAAAGAAGAGTTCCAGATTTTTAATCTGTTTCAAAGTTCTTGTAGGTTCCTGCTGTAATCTCTGAATCTTTGAAGATAGTCTAGAGGAGTGCATTCTGCTTCACAACAGATAAGCTTTACTCCTTCCCATTGTGATAACCTTCCTGAAAATATATAGGCTTCATCTAGAGCTATTTCTTAGCAGCGTTGTCTCTGGTTTTATGCCTGGTCTCCTTTGGTTTACTGTGGACACTTTTGTTTTGTCAACAGGCATAAACCAGTGCAATTTCCCTGTTCTGTATTGCTCTTGTGCTCTGTGTGTTCTAATGTAATAAGCTCTGAGTTTTTATTTTTAAGCCATCAGACAAGTGACAATTTTTTGGCAAAAAAATGAAGGAGCTGCTTGCAGATAGAATTCACTGAACATCATCCTAAGAAAAGTAGACTATATAACAAAGTTCAAGTATGCTGTCCATCAGAATAATTCTGCTTCTATTACAGTGAAGGTGAGTACTGCATAAAACAATCCCATAGGCTAAACCAAAACATTTTTGTGGGTGGTTGCCAATAAATCTTGTTTGCTGACAGAAAAGAATGAGACAGCAGGAAAGAAGAACTAGCAGATGCTGGCAATCACTTTAGCAAGCCGAATAATCTTCAAGGATCATGAATTAGATGAGGAAGAATGTTATTGTTTGCCATCTGCTATGGGCCTATTAGTATGTCAGCATCTGGTGCCACAGAAAGATCTTTGCGATGTGAATGCACAAAGTGAATTCAGACAGAGTTTTCTTCTGCTGTAAGGAATCCTGCCGAAGGTAAACATTACGGGCCTTGCCACTGGTCAATTCACTTAGGTTTTTTGATGTATGCTATTTAAAGTTTGATAAAAAGAGACCATAACAGAGTTCACCTCAATGATTAAACAGTATAGCGTAATCAGTAAGAACTGAATAATAATCCCACAAGGTTGGCATTAAAACTTTCTTTCTATTCAATTTAGGTTGTTTTCTGTTTCCAAATGTCAGGCAGCAAATATCTAAGTTTGAGCAAAACCAGTTGGTTTGAAAGTGTCTTAAACCGACCAAAAATAAAGCAGGGCACAGAACTGCCCCAGCCCAGGCTAGAAATTTGCACATACATTTTGTTGAGAAAATACTACTTGCTTAATGTTGTTACTCAGTGGCAGGATTATCTATGTTCCTGGGGATATTCAAGACATTTGAGGTGTTAACAATTTCGTATTCATGATTGATATTGCAAGAGATAACATGAAACTTCAGTAACCATAACATATTGGTGGACCCACATATTAAACTGTGAAACACTATACATGGAATGAACTATACTGTCTTGCATTTTTATCTATTACTTAGAATGATACAACCCTTGCATGCGAACCAACCTTGATCAGCAGAGCCAATACATTAATCTGATAGATTATATGTCTGAGCATGAAGCTTGCAAGGCATAAGTGTACTTACTTTTGGTGTTGGGCAGGATGCAGTGGAAAGACGAGAGGTGGCCTGGGCACGAGGAGACTCTGAAGGAGTAGTACTGAGGGAGGCTGTATCACGTGGGAGCACCTGAACACCACGAGAGATGATGGAATCTGGAATCTTAAAAAGAAGAGAGGTGGAATTAATAGTAAAAAAATATAATTTCTTTAAAACTTACTCAAAACATTACATCAAAAACCTAAGAATACCTCATTCATCAGTTTGCATACATCCCCATATGCAGTGCTGGCAGTGGTTAATGGCATGTTCTCATAGTTTCAGTAACAAATACCTAGCAAATATATAATATCATATTCTAACTGAAGTAGCATAGAACATACTATTTATCCTGAAAAACATATGAATCAGACACACTACACCAGGAAATAATAAGAAAGTAATGTTTTTCCTTTTAAGCCTCTGTTTCAAACCCAACAGTGACCAACAGTGATTTCTACTGTGGCATGAGGTGAAGCAGACTTCCCATTCTCTAACTAGGGGACAATATTCTGAACAGAAACCCATTTATTAGCAATGACTGAATCCTTCTGAAGAAATGTCATGCAGTGAGAAAATTTCTCATAAGAAATGTCATGCAGTGAGTAAATACTCTTCATTCCGTGTACTGAAGACTTTATTTCAGCTACAAAAATTCTTGATCTAAGGTCTGTGCTGCAAAAGCTACAGGCCTCTCTGGGGGGCGTGCAGACAAAAGCACTAGAAACCACCATCCAAAGCCAACACTTGGTTTAAAATGCATTCTGAAGGGAAAAATAAAAATTCAATCTCTTCCCCCCCGCCCCTCCCCCCAATGTATTAGAAAGCCAGCTAGGAAAGCAAATCCCCAACGAACATGACTGGAAAACTGGTAACAACAAATGAGGAGAAGACTGAGGCACTCAACAACTGTTTTGCCTCAGTCTTCACTGGCAACCTCTCTTCCCACACCTCTTGAGTGGATGGGCCACAAGACAGGGACTGGGGGAGCAAAGTCCTTCCCACTGTAAGACATGATCAGGGTCATGACCACCTGAGGAACCTGAACATACATAAGTCTATGGGATCTGACGAAATGTGTCCCAGAGTCCTGAAGGAATTGGCTGATGAAGTTGCCAAGCCACTCCATGATACTTGAAAAACCTTGTCAGTCAGGTGAAGTCTCTGGTGACTAGAAGAAGGGAAACATTGCACCCATTTTTAAAAGGGGTAAAAAGGGGGACCCTGGGAACTACCAACCTGTAGGCCTCACCTCTGTGCCTGGGAAGACCGTGGAACAGATCCTCCTAGAAGCTATGCTAAGGCACATTGAGGACACGATTTGAGACAGCCAGCATGGCTCCACCAAGGGCAAATCTTGCCTGACCAATCTTGTGGCCTTCTAAGATGGAGTGACTATATCAATGGACAAGGGAAGAGCTACAGATATCATCTATCTGGACCTCTGTAAGGCCTTTGACACTGTCCCCCACAACATCCTCCTCTCTGAATTGGAGACACATGGATTTGATGGGTGGACTGTTCAGTGGATGAGGAATTGGTTGGACGATTACATCCAGAGGGTAGTGGTCAACAGCTCAATGTCCAGATGGAGATCGGTGACAAGTGTCATCCCTCAAGGGTCTGTACTGGGACCAGTAGTGATTAATATCTTCATCAATGACATAGTGGGATTGAGTGCACCCTCAGATGACACCAAGCTGAGTGGTGGGGTTGACACACCTGAGGGACGGGATGCCATCCAGAGGGACCTGGACAAGCTCAGGAAGTGGGCTCATGTACCTCATGAGGCCCAACAAGGTCAAGTGCAAGGTCCTGCACCTGGGTTAGGGGCAACTCCCCCTATCAATACAGGCTGGTAGATGAAGGGAACCCACTGGAAAATACCTCCTTCCAGGAACAAGCTTGAATCCTAGCTTTTAAAATCTGTTGTATCCTTAGGATCAGTGTCAGGATATTAAGACAGCGTTCTTGCTTGTCTCTGTGCAGTTAAAATAACCAATCTTAAGACTCAAATCATTACATACTGCTTTTTTTAAGTCATGTTTCCCCTCAACTTCCTTGGTTCCCATCTGTAAATAATGACTATGTCTAAGTTAGCAACCTTGACTTAAAGATACTGGGTTATATCTAGGGGATCTTATTTCACCATAAATCCTCCTCCACACATTACAGTTTCTTGTATTTATAACCTGCTTATAAGTTGTGTGGAAATAGATATTGTTCTCAGTGTGCCACCAACTGCCTGCTTTCTGGTCTACTGCTATGTTTCTAGACTGACAGTATTTTTTGCCAGTCAATTTCTATCAGCATTTAAAAAAAAAACAAAACCCAAACAACTTTCTTCAGAGGATCTTTCAAGGCTAAGCAACTTGTGCTGCAATTTCCACTCCAAATCATGAAGTCAGTAGAGTTTCTCTTCACTACCGACAATTATGCCAGGGATATTTTCCTCTCCAGAAACACTGCCTAACTGGCCTCTACTTGGAATATTCTGATTTGCAAATGGCATCTTAGAGATGTACTATACAGAGAGGTAAACAGAAATAATGATCATGCAAACAGTTTGTAGTCAGAAGCACCATTTCCCTTCTGTTCTCTTTTTCTCCTGAAATCCCATCTTAAATATGTTAAACACAAAAAAAGGCTGACATCCCTAAGTTTTATATTAGTGTAGCTCCAATACTACCTACAACTTTTAATGCTTCCTTTTAATCTCCATGACTAAGGACAACACAGCAAAGAACCTACATTTTGATACAGGCATCAAATAAAGACACAGTAAAAGAACAGTTTTAAGTCTTAAATAAGGCACCTTTTCTTTACCCTCCTGTGATAAAAAGCTGCACACATCTTGATATGATTGTGTACAGGTCCATTACCTCTTTTATTTACTCCAAGATCACATAATACAATACAAATACAATATTGCTTTTGCAAATTATACTATAATCCAGTTCTCCCTGGGTTTAGCCTGGTTACTCCAGAGTAACCAGATATTACAGATTGTCTCATCCCCTTCAGGCAAGTAACTGTTTTGGTTTTTTTTCTATCCACCATATCCATCAATCTATCATTTCTTCTAAAATTTTTCCGATATCACCTTTTTCAGAACAAAAAACTCTCTCTGCAACAAAATGACTGAGATAATTCCAGTCTCCATTGAACTGTATGTGAAGAACTAATTTTTGTCTGTGAGAAAATTAAAATTTAAGCAAAATTTCAGCCAGGACATTAATCAGAAAAGGAGGCTGAAGATAAAGGGAAAAGATGATTATAGGCATTTAATTTCAATGAGAATCATTCCCTAATCACTACCTTTACAGAAAATACAATTGCCATAAAATAATCCATATATAAACCTATCTAGAAATCTTAAGTTTCAGCTTGCTAGCTTTCACAGACACAAAATCTCACTGAGAGAATTAAGTCAGTTCACAGTTACAAACTTTGCTCTCAAGAGGTTTACTTCTCTAACATGACAGTGGAGTGTGTTGTATTGCTAAAACCAGCATTAATATTCTCTTTAAAACACTACCACCTGCTGATTTCAGAGAAGGTACGAATATGTATACTGCATAAACATGAAAATATAAAAAATATAATAGATATATACTGTTCATTAAGTAAAAGGAACAATAGAATAGGATTGGTATTTCTATGCATATATGTTATGTGATTTGGGGAATGTCTCATTTTTCTCACCTACATTTAGTAAGTTTTTTTCCTTATAAAATTAAATTTAGGCAATCTAAGTCTCTAATCAAGATAACATCTTGTTAACCCTGCAAAAGAGGTTGATAAACCCATGAGAAATTTCTGTCTTTTCTGGAGCCTGGAAATCTGCAATAAGGAAGGGCAGGAATATTATTGTATTTTGGATAGATTTTTTTTTTTTTAAAGTTTCACAAAGTCACACTCTGAGTATTTATAATGTCGCCCCCTAAACTTTTTGATGTCATTTGCCAGTTTCAAACAAATTTAATAGAGGGTAGAGGTCTCAAAACTCTAAATGGGGTACAATAAAACTAAATTCAGTAACAATAGCTTCTGTTTACACTAGATGGAGTGGAAAACCTGTTGTAACATGCTGATGGAGAAAGAAATGAGTGAGAAATTAATGAAGTGACAGAGAAAGCTATCCACCAGTCATGGCTTTTACAATTTTTATCTGATACGACATTTTCCAGAAGTACTTTTATATTGGTTTAAATATTTGTGCTTTCAGATTAGAGACTAAGTGTTGACAAGAAGGAGAAAAAGGAAAAGATATGAGCTCTTTATTCTCTTTTGCTGAGGACTGGAACAAAGATTGACAGTGCTGGTGAAGCACTAAGAAAACAAGCTATAGATTATCAATTACCATGATTGTTATACAAGAGCAAAAATATCCTAAAAACATAGAGAAAGGACAGCTTTAAAAACAACAGTCACCTTCTGAAAAACTAGCTGCTTCCTCCTCTAAATTTGAAAATCTGATTTGGATTACAGAATGCGTAAAACAACCGCTCAAGAGTAATTTGCAAAAGGGCACAGGAGCCTGGATGACAGCTTCACAGCGTGCTTCAGAGAGGCTGAATTCACTTTTTTACTGATACTGGAAAACATGGTGCCAATTCTAGTTTAGTGAGCTCAACTCAAAAAAATGAAACTATTGAAATAAATGTGTGTGTGCGTGTGTATGTATGTATATACACATATATAGCTTTATATCAGGTGTGTGAACTTTAAAGTCTTCACACTTCCTAAGTGACTTTTCAAGAGACATGGTCATCATGTTTTAAATACAGAAGTGTTATGCTATTTGACTGATGGTTTAAATTACTGTTGGCTAAGGGAACAAGAAAGTGCAGCCTCCAGTCATCAAATCTGGTGACATATTTTCCCAAGAACTTACACCCCGTTTGCTGGCTGACATGGAATAAACAGGTCAGACAGCACAACTCTCTCTAGGCCAATTGCCTTCCTCAGCTTTCTCTTACAGTTATGAATACAGTAAATTATGTTTCATTCCTGATGATACTGTAGCCATTATTCTATCTTGATTCAAGCCTAGACTAAATCTTTGGGAGATGGAAAACACAGTATTTTGTTAGAGCCCGAGTTAAAACCCCTGGGTTATAATAAACTACATCCTTTCTACTATTCATTGAAATAGTTGCCTACTATTCACTAAAATCCAGTCATTTATAAAAAGTCCACTGCATCTTGACTCCTCAAGTCTTTTCTTCTCTTTCTGAGAAATTCTACTTCTTAGCAGAACAGAAAATAAGGGAGAAACTGCGAGTGATGAAAGCAAACAACGAACACCCAGTGCAAATGCTGTATTATGTTGACAAACTATTGAGAGAAAAAAGCAAAGCAAGGCAAACGAAGGGGAAAAAGTTACCAAAATTTCATAGCTCTAAAGCAATAATTTTAGGAGATCATTTTAATTATATTCAATTATTGATTATACTAGATGATAAAGCCAATGACTAATCAGAAACACGGGCTTTATAGCAACGATTATCTCAGCAGCCAAATGATTCAAACTGACAACGCGCACAAACTTTACCTTGTTTAGCCCTGTATCTTAAACAGAATATTTTCTGTAGCATGTTCTCTAAAAGATAGCACTGATGTGTCTTTGTTAGAAGAAGATAAGTAACACTGTCTCTTCACACAGCAGACTAGGAGGCAGGCAGCGTATTTTTAGCTACTGTTAGTGCAAAAGCCTCTTGGAAGTGTCTCTTACCGGTTCTCCTGCACTGCCTGCTGCGTGATGGCAATAACTGATGAGACCAGGGATGGGCTGTTCACCTTTTGCCATGATAACAGCTGAACTGGTGTAGGATGGATGCTTCTAATGCACAACACATAACAGCTATGAGTACAGTGACAGGAAAACATGAAACTATACAAGCAAATGACTGAAAGGGAATGAGGTGAAAACAAGTGTGACGCTGAAATGCCAAGCTCATATGAACACAGCCAGTTTAGATCTCAGGTACTTTCTGCCTTTAAAAATTGTACATCTTATTGACCTTTGCCTATATCAAAAGAAATTAATCAATTTAAAATTTGCATTAATAAAAAGTGAAACTTGCAAGTGATAATTACCTTAATTCATCCCTGTAAAGATATATGTAATCAGGATTTCCTGTACATGAGGAGATGATCTCCAGCTGCAGCTGTCTTAGAAATGTCAAGATGTCTCAGCCTGAATTCACATTTCTGGAGTTAGAATGTTGCTGCTTTCGTTTAGAAATTCTTTAATATAATTTTGAGTTACTTAGACTTTCAATTCCCATAATAAGAATTAAAAGCACAATTTGTGGAGTAAATATAGAACAAAGCAGTTTGGAAAAAAACCTGTCCAAACACATAGAAGTACCTTGTCTTTCCATCTGAAAACTGAAGACATAAAACTGAGGTAAGTATTTATATACTGCTTCAAATAATACGATATTTATTTGGAAAACATTTACAATTTGAACTGATATAATTTGCAAGTGTTATCTTTTTTTTTCCTTTTGTAGTCTCAAATTTATTATTTTGGTTTGAGTAATGTTGATCAATGATTACTGGTTAAAGCAAGGCTATAAAGACAGTGTGATGACATTTAATTTTGCGGCAGGATTTCACATCTCTTATGCGGACATGCACACTGGAATAAAGTAGTCTGGATAGCTTATTACTTAACCTGCTATGTATCTGTCATACTTTTTATCAGTGTTTTTAGAAACTAACATTTTCTTTTCAAAATAGACATTATGGCTTAGAAAATTTTGTTGTGATTCCTTAATATGCCACCTACTGGATTTTGCACGTTCAGGAGTGTGAGTACTTTGAATTAAAAAAAAAAACCAAACCACTAAAAATAGTCTGGCACATCAGAATGGTATCATAAAAATGCATGTTATCGTCAAGACAATGTACAATATATCTCCCACTGAAATTTCAGATCACCTACTGACACAGGATTCATATCTTTTTATGAAGCTGTATTTCTACAAAATGTACCAAAAGTACATCTGTTTGACACACAGGCATCAATGTATAGTCTTAACATGCAAAGGAATATTGGTGGAAAGTACCTGAGACAGAAACTAAAGGGTCTCTTAGGGAAACAAGCCAGGCTCACCTTAGCTGCAATGGCTGCTGCCGTTATATGTGAAGAAGAACTGTCCTCTGTTGAGGCAACTCCACTATCCTTCTTCTCTTCCTCCTCTTCCTCACACTGTACTCCTTTGTCTTCTGTCTGCTTGTGAGGGCTGGTGGTTGGAGGAGGAGAAAGAGGAGGTGGTGGTGAAGGTAGATCTTCGAGCTCATCGTGTACCTCCTTTACTTTTACAATGGCATCCCGCAAAAGATCAATGGCGTGAGGTAGGGCTGGCAGTATAAACTGAAAGCATTCCTATGCACAACGAGAAGAGAAATGACTATGAAAAGTTACCTGCAGAAGTAAATAGGGATTTTTCAGATTTACTCTTAAAAGATATTTGGGATTTAGATCATTTAGATCACTCGATCATAAATAAAACCTATGCAATTGCTTATAGAGGGTAAAAAAAACAAACGCAGAACCTGAACTGGGGACTGTACAATATATTTTTGCCTTTTTTTCATGCAAATATCGTCAGTTATACAACAGGGCTACTGTAATTAAGCTAATATTGGATTAAAACTTCAGAAAATAAGAGTTAAATTTTTATGAATGCATAATACAGAAACCAGTTCACAGCAGTTGGCAGAATGCAGAATAAAACATTAACTCTATCCCTGCAGGGATATTAACTTTAAACCATTCCTATTATGTTCCTTCACAATTAGAAAACAATTCATAAGGGTTTCCATAATTATACTTCTATATAAGTATATCCTTTTTTATTCATGGATTTATCCTATATACTGGCAGAATGACAAACTACACTGATGTCACTATAATTTTATGTAACTCAGAAAAAATTGTTCATAAATAATCTGTTTTTCAAACCCCTCCTTGCTCTGTGATCTTAAAAACAGTTAGAAAGTTTATTTTGTAACGCTGGTGAAAGCAAAAATGCAGACACCGTGTAACTATTCTTGTTCCATAATGGACACACACATATATAGCTACCTCTGCTGCTAGAATATGCCAGTATTTCATCAAATGAAAGAGGAACCTCAGGATGTCACGCAGTGCAGGCTCCTGCTCAGATCAGGGTCAATACAAAATTCACACAGGTTGCTTAGGGCTTTGTTCAGTAAAGTCTTGAAAAAATCCAAGAACAGAGACTCCACAACCCTTCCTGACAATCTGTTCTAATCTTTAATTACCGTCAAAGTGATTTTTTTTTTCTTTTTCTTTTTATCCAGCTGGAAGCTACCTGCTTCAATTTATGACTATTGTCTTTCATCCTCTTCCCAGGCACCTCAGTAAAGAGTTTTCTTCATGTCATTTCAGCAGACTGCATATAAACATTAAATTACTGGAAAATGATGGCAGGGTCACAGGAATGAATTACCATGGCAGTGCAGTTAGGGAACATACAAGTTGACAGAGAAAGCTGACATTATTCCTTTTGTTGCACTTCATTTTTGGTTTTGTTTCAAGCATAAGGAAGATTTTAAAAATGTTATTCCAACATTTTAGAATATTCAGAAATAACGATAAACATTTCACAAAGACCTACTGTAACAAAAATTTTCCGTAAATATAAATGACCATGTAAACAAAACAAAGAGCAAACCATTCATCAGAAATTACTAGAGTTTAAATAAGCCACTTTGTAAGTCAAAAACATGACTCACAAACACTGTATTTACTCAAAGCTTCTAAGTAAGAACCCACCTGTCAGTCACTCCTTTAGGAGTAATGAAAAGTCAGTTATAAATTCTTTAAACATTCAATTTGGCACTCTGAAAAACTGGAGTAAACTGGATGAGCATAAGATGCTGTATATAATGAATATATATTAAAATATATTTGTAAACATAATAAAGAATTATAACTTGTAATGTAATTGCAAACCTCAGAGTTACTGTGCCTCCACAGTATTAGTTTGAAGATGGTTTAAAATACTGAAGCATACAACCATCATTACTTCAGTAAAAAAGCAGACCTCAAGTACATGGCAAACCAGGACAACAATCTGTGAACTGACCAATAATCATGAAAAAGTACATTAATGATTAACTCATTAGAGAAGCATGTTCCCTACTCCTACCACTGAAATAAAGCCTTGTTGGCTGACTGCTGATGAATAGGTTCCCAGTAAGTACTCTAAAAGCTCATGCTATTTGTAAAACTCATTGTTTTAGGCAATTGTTAATACAATTATGAAAATTGCCATAGACCCAATTATTTCAATGAGTATCTGGTAATTTCACACTCTGCCCTCTTTCATAACATTAAATACCTTTTGCAAGGTGAAAAGAAAAGAAAACAGACCAGAATAACACAAAATGGAAGCATTCTACAGATCTCAATTCAGTGGTACATGCCACACAAACATTCTCTGGATAAAACACGCTTGGCATGCATTGTGTCCATTTTTGGGATGGAGCATTTACACTGCTGCCATTTTCTATTAATATTTTAATATTTTATTAATGAAATATGCATACCACTGCAACTTCATAGCTTTATATAAGCTGCTTCTATGATTGTATTAATACAATGGAAAGGAAATTAGCAAGTCATAAGAGAGAAATGAGAGAAAGTCCTGGTAGCAACCCATCCTATTTGGTTCTTGAGATCCAGCCTGTTACGGAACAATTTTCTCTACTATTCATCTTAAAGAAATCTTTGCTGAAATTTGATACTTTAAAGATGTTTCATATTAAAATAAATTGTGACAGAACAGAGTATCATGATGACAGGAACAAATAAATCATCAGTTTATAAAAAGCTTGCTTATATAATGAAATCATACGAGATTTTTCTTTCATTTCCAGCAGAATTACCTTTTTTATTACTTAGTTCATAAAATAATTATTAACATTTTTTTCATTTCTTTTCCTCATCATCTTTCTACAATTTACCTGTCTTCATAGTCTGAGTGCCTCAGGGCAGAAAATGGCAATTTTTTCTGTACCTAGCATGTTAGGAGTGCTACTGAACACAACAAAACCCATTAGAGATTGTCGGCTATTTAATCTCTTTCATAATTCAAGAAAAGAAGTTTAAACTTCTGAAAAAAAATTTTTACTGGTGCACCAGTTCTCTAAGATGTGGGGCCCACTGCTATGTTAAATACATGTACATACATTATGACTTCCCAGTCATAACTGCAAGACTTTCAAGTAGGTATACTCCTGCTCCACTATCCTCCAATGGTTGTTGCATGTTTTGAAGGCTTTAATTTCTTTTCAATTACAGAGTCTCATTAGATTTCCTAAAAAAGCTCTAAGGAATGGTAGAAACATAGAAGAGCTTACTGAGTCCTTGAACTGAAACATGTAGATAATGTATCGGAAAACCTGTGATGGCTGCTTAAGATAATAGTATTCAAAACATTTCCTCCTCAACTTCCAGGTGACAGCCCACACAAACATTCTTTATTTATCTCCAGACATAAGTCTTTCAAGCAACAGTGACTTCAGGGCTGTGCTGCCAAACACATTAGTACTGTCTCCTCTGTGGCTGGCTGCTACTGGTTCAGAAGACGGTGATAAACTACCAGGTACGCATTTGTTCAAGGCCAGAGGTAAAGACATTTTTTAACAAGGCCACTGACATAGTCTGAGCCCTGGAGAAATATGTTCTCCTAACTGATGGGGGATCTACCTTAGCAATTTTGTATCAGGTTGTACATCCCACTCTTCAGCTTAGCAGTATTTGTGTGGAGAAGGCCATTTTTCTGGATCTATCAGCCAAGTACAGAGACACAAAGAGCACTGGAATGATCTAGCCTTACTAACACCAAAAAAAATTCCTCCTGATATTTAACTGTGTTTTGCTCAGCTCTACAGTCAGAAAGTAAGCATGAATAAAAACATAAAGCCTAACTTGCCTGCTCAAACTGAGCAAAACCCAGCAAAAAAACAAACTGTCTAAAGGGTGTAAAGTCTGATACCCATATCCAAAAGATTTAAAAAATCCACAAACTCTTAAAAACTATGTTTCTTTTTTCCCCTTTTGCTGATCAAAATTGGGAATATTCTTCGTACTCCAGCAAGTTCTACCATGTACCAGGCCTTCCTCTTATTTCTGTGTGAAAAAGAACACTTTCTTGGAACCTGCAGACAGCCCTGGGATCAGGTACAGGCTGACTAGAGAAGGAGGCAGTGTAAGAGACCATTATGCTTTTCATTAGCACTGCCTGCTACTGTGAGTGCTCTCTTGCACTACATGTAATGCTGTCCTCGTCACGTAGTACCTTCAGAATTGTACGATCAGAATTGTATCGTCCTTGACTGAGAGTGATGGTGCATTCAGTTATATGAATATGCATTTCAATTAACTTTTGTAAAATGTGTTCTACCATTCAGAACAATGGGAGATATTCATCATGGGTCCTCAGTAGCAGACCAGTAAGAACACTTCTTACCTGTGACCCTTTCTTGCTACCTGGCAGATTAATTATGAGAGTTTTCCCTCTGATTCCACACACAGGTCTGAAAAGAAAGAAACCCAGAGTGAAATTCTTGCATGCAACTTTCTCCACTAGAGAAACAAGAACAGAGCATCTAAAAGAAATTCTATTATTTAACAGAATTTGTAAACTCAATTTCCAACATCTAAAAATATTTGCTGATCACGTTGTCAGAAAACAGCTCAGGAGAAGTTGAGCTGAAAAACCATCAAAGTTGGACAGAGTCTAACGTTTAATTGATAGTATAAACACTGGCTAGATTTCCATCTTTTTTAGATCTGTGTAGCTCCCTTAATTCTATTGTTTACTTGCATCCAATACATTCTTTGATATAGTCCCTATTTGCTCATACACATGGCTCCTTTGTAATGTAATTGATGGTGTCAAACACTATTTCCCTTGCCAGGTAAAAATACTAAGTCATGCTGGTTGCATTAATTCAAATATGTTTGTTTTTTTTTTAAAAAAGATGCAACATAAGGAAAGCAGAGAGGCAAGTAATTCTCAACTGAAAATTGCACTTATCCAATTCACATCTAATTCCTCCTAACAGTCTTTCCTTCCCCCTCAGAAAAAGATGAAACCAACTATCAAAGATGGAAGATATTATTTTATTTTTTACTTTATGGAATTTCTTTGGTCTTGATGCAAGACTGAACTTAGATACCCAAGTGCCAAATGCTTTCTGTTGTTTAGAGTTTGCCTCTTCCTCTTTTCAGCTAAATATTTTTCAAGAAAAAAAACCACCTGGATTTTGTCTTGAGGTTGTAAAGGGTGCCTCCTGCTTTTCTCCACTGGTTACAAAATCAGTGGTGAAAAAGCCAGGGCTAGGATATAGGGATAAGAAAAAAGTGAAATGACGAAACCAAACCACAAAGATATGGAGGCTATAGTTGACAGAAATTGTGTAACAATCTCTTTATCAAACAAAAACATGAGCCGTAAGTGAAGACAGAATAGAAAAGAAAATAATTTCTTGATAGGGCATTATGGAAAAATTTGAGGCAAAGGACATGGTTTGTGGGGTAGTCAACTTCCCTGGATTTCTTCTTATAGAAATAATTCTCAGTGATTAACGTCATTTATTGGTAGCATGGCATTTTCTAGCAGGGTGGCAAGTATTCTAGTGATAGCTGTCACAATGCTCACAATTAAATAGCACAGAGACTGTTTTTGTGGCACAAAATGAACTTCTGATATCACAGTCAAGCCAGCCTGAAGAAAAGTCTTATTTTCAACTGGCAGCTTGAATATTGCCTGGCTCTTAGCCTCTGTTTTCCCATATTCACTTCTTGCGTGCTATACATCCTCAGTTAAGAAAGAATTCCAGGCAGTTGAGGAATGCTCTACTGCAATACAAAGATGAAAAGCCTGAGTTAAGAAACGTGCTCATTTACTCTTGTTACAGCAGTCGAACTTACTGAGTACAAACTCAATCCAGCAAATCCCAAACATGAGATACAGTTTATGATAGATTCAAAATAAAGGAAATAATAGGAATTATCCGCAAAGGAATTAAAATGAGGTGGAATTGTGTTTGGCAGATAGCTCCTTTAATAATCTTCTTGGTTCTTTTATTCTGCTTTAAGTAATTTCGAACATCATAAGCTAAATGACCAGTACAACCAACTAATAATAAAAAAGGATCAAACCAGCAGCCATTCTCCTGAAAGCTACAAGTTTTGGCTGCCAATAATCACATCTAGTGGCTCAAGACAGAAATGGAGCTGCCAAAGATTTGTCAAGAGAGGATGCAAAAGTAAGTAAAAGTACCTAAGAACTGCATGGCTTGCAAAAAATATTGTGTGCGTTCACAACATAAAAGCACACAAAATGTGCATGTGTTCTGGGTAATTTGAGAAAGAAATTAATGATATTCCTCTAAATGTAGAACAGTTGAGGGAGATGGTGTGGATCTCACGTTATCCTCAGCCTTGTGATGTAATGGACGGAAATTTCGAGAAAAAACAAGTAAGTCTGAGAAAGAAGAATACAAATAGAAGGAAGGGAGTGGAAGAAAAAACAGGACATGGGAGAAAGAAAAAAATGGGTGCGGGAGGAAAGAAATACGGGTTGATGCATTTTTTTCAGGAATGAAGAACATGATTTCTTTGGGAAAAAAAAAAACATGATCTCCCTGGGAAGAAATTATGCTGGTAAAAGCAGAATGGATAGGCAAGGAGACAGAAAGTGCTTTAAAAAGCCTCATTAAAGACTGGCTCAGCATGGGTAGCTGGCAGGTAAGGAACTGAGTGAAAGGAAGAGATAATTCTGGGACAAGGACAGTTCTGGAAGGTCACAGAGAAGAAAAGGAAACACTTTCAGGAAACACATAAAAAGGACTTGATGCTCTAAGATACTCCCTGCAGTACATTGGGACGGAATCTTAACTATGAGAGTCTCACTGCACCCATTTGCCTGTAAGTGTCTGTGAATCCAGTCTACAAAATAACTCACCACTTCCTAATGCTGGCCCATAGTCAGGGAGACAGCCTATAACTTGTAACGATTTTTAAAAGTTCACGTGAAAAAATTAAGCA